GAGTGAAAGTTTTTAAAAATATGTATTTCAATTAATAAATGAAGAAAGTAATAAAGTAGAATATTGCCATTTTATATACTCCTAATAATTAATAGACCTAGGCAGGGTCATCAATGGTCACTAACATCACAACATGAGTTACAACCATCATATTGAGCAAGTGGCATCTGTTGCCTATCACCAGAAGCAGAAATCCAGACACTTCTCCCCACTGTATCTTGGTATTAGAGTCACTGATGAAAACACAGTGCAGGAACAACACTTCACTCACATAGAGAAGAGACAGAGCAAGATTGGCTTCAATAGTGGGCACTGGTCCCCCATGGCCACTGGCATGCCCACACCCCTCTTGTACCACAGAATGAGGAACTTCATCCTCTCCCCACAGAAGACATATATAGTGGTGGGATTGGCCAGGTGCCATGTGACACACACTTAAACAAATCAAAGGAATGCACATTGAGTCTGAAACAAGGAAAGGTATTTTCACACAAGGTAATAGGTCCCGCACAGCCTGAGAGAACTCTTTGTCTCTTTGTAAGAAAGTGTTTCAAGCTCGAGGCCAAAAGCTGAAAGACTGCATGCACAAGACTGCCTTTCCCGACATATACTTCATTATCTTCTGTAGGAAGTACACATATGCTTCCCCAAATTGAACTTGAATTAGATCAAACCTCTAGGTCTAATAACCAGTTTACAGGAAATATACATGATAGAGGAACATATTAAATAACATGCAGTCAGTAAATGCAAAATGTGGGCAACTCTTCAGTAAAAACAACCCAGTTTTTTCAACAAATAAATTGCAAAGGTGTGGGGGAGGTTGCGGGTAATATATAGATTTAAAAAGAGACTTACATAGCAACTGAATTCAATGTGTACCTTGTTTGGATCCTGATTTGAACAGAACAACTGTAAAAAGAGACACTTGGGGAAATGTAACTAAAATCTCTTTATTGGTTTTCCATTGCTGTATAACAACTTACTCCAAAACTTAGCATCTTAAAACAATAAACATTACTGTCTTGTAGTTTTTGTGCTTCAGGAATCTGGGAGTTGCTTAACTAAATCATCCTACTCAGGGACTCCCAAGGCTGCATTCATCTCAAGGGTTCATGAGAAGGATCCACTTTACACATGGTGGTTTTAAGAATTAGTTCCTCTGGCCTTAGTTCCTCTCTTACCTTCTTGCCACATAGGCTTCTCCACAGGGCATTTCACAACAAGGCGAACTGACTTCCATGAGCAGATAGAAGCAAGAGAGTAAGAGGAAGACAAGATGGAAGCTAGTGAATTTTTGTAATGTAATCTCAGAAGTAACATCCCAACATATTAATAGTGGTATAACTAAGAATGCTAGCAAGTTTAGGTATAAAAAAATGACAGTTATGGTTTCATTTTTTATGCCCGAGTAATATTCCATCTTATATCTGTACCACAACTTTTTTATCCACTCGTCTATTGATAGGTACTTGGTTTGCTTTCATATCTTGGCTATTCTAAATAACACTGCAGTGAACATAGATAGGGATGCATATAATCTTTTGGGTTTCTTCTGATAAATCTCCAGAAGTGGAATTGGTGGGTCATAAAGTAGTTCCATTTTTAATTTTTTGAGGAAACTCCATACTGTTTTCCACAGTGGCTGCACCAGTCTGCATTCCCACCAACAGTGCATGAAGGTTCCCTTTTCTCCACATCCTTGTCAACACTTATCACTTGTTGATGGTAGCCGTTCTGACAGGTGTGAGGTGATATCTCATTGTGGTTTTAATTTTCATTTCTCTGAGAGTGATGTTGAGCATCTTTTTATATGACTGTTGGCCATCTATATGTCCTCTTCAGAGAAGTGTCTACTCAGATCCTGTCCTAATTTCTTGTTAATCCTCACCTGAGAATTTTTTTTCCAATTGACATTTAGAGAGAGAGTGGAAGGGAGGGAGGGAGGGGGAAGATGAGAGAGATAGAGATAGAGAGAGAGAGAGAGAGAGAGAGAGGAAGAGAAAGAAAGAGAGAGAAAAACATCAGTATGAGAAAGACCGATTGGTTGCCTTATGCATGTGACAGTGCTGGCCAGGGATTGAACCTTCAACCCAGGTACGTGCCCTTGACTGGGAATCAAACCCTTGACTCTCTGGTGTGAGGGCCAACACTCTAATCACTTAGCCATTCAGGCCAGGGCCTGTGCTCATTTTTTAAATTAGATTGTTTGTTGTTGCGACAGCCTGGATGGACCTAGAGGGGAGTATGCTCAGTGAAATAAGTCAATCAGAGAAAGAAATACTATATGATTTCACTAATATGCGGAATCTAAAGAACAAAATAAACAAAACGGACTTATAGATGCAGATGGTTGCCAGAAGGGAGAAGGGGTTGGGGATTGGGTGAAAAAGGTGAAGGGATTAAGAACAAATTGGCAGTTACAAAATAGTCACAGGTATGTAAAGGAAAGCATAGGGAACATAGTCAATAATATTGTATGGTGCCAGTTGGGAACTGGAAATATTGAGGGGGACACTTTGTAAAGTATATGATTGTCTAACGTCTAAGCTGTACACCCTAAACCAGTGTTTGGCAAACTGCGGCTCGCGAGCCACATGCGGCTCTTTGGCCCCTTGAGTGTGGCTCTTTCTAAGCCTTAGGAGTACCCTAATTAAGTTAATAACAATGTACCTACCTATATAGTTTAAGTTTAAAAAATTTGGCTCTCAAAAGAAATTTCAATTGTTGTACTGTTGATATTTGGCTCTGTTGACTAATGAGTTTGCTGACCACTGCCCTAAACCAATACAAAATAAAATTGACAGTAAACTGTAGGAAAAAACCTGACAGTTAAATTGTTAGTCTTTGTTTAGGAAACATGATAACAATCTGTACCTTCTTTTTGGTATTTGAAAGGTTGCTCTTTGATCAAGACACATCTCTTAGATCTGAGTTCAGTCTCCATCCTGATATAAGTGGAATATGCAAAGGTGAGAAATAATTCTTTTCACTAAGCAGTCCATTTAATTTCTCAGGTGTTACTATTTCATTAATGTCTCCTTTTATATTTAGTCTTGTTCTTTAACTTTACACAGAGTTAGTTTCTTTGAGGCATCTGTAATAGACCCTGAGGTCTATTAAGGTCTGTTACTATGAGGGCAGCAATGGGGATTATACTTCTGGAAGATGTTTACAACAGAGATATGGTAGTAGTACTGAGATAGCTCTTCTCTGCCCCCCAACTCTATAGCTTAACCCTAGAAGCTGCAAAAGTAAATAATACTTTTTTCTTGTTAATCCTCTCCCAAGGATATTTTTCCCATTGATTTTTAGAGAGAGGAGGGAGGGGGAGAGAGATAGAGAAACATCAATGTGAGAGAGACACATTGACTGGTTGCCTCCTACACACACCCCAACAGGAGCTGGGAATCAAACCTGCAACCCGGGTACGTGCTCTTGACTGGGAATTGAACCTACGACCCTCTGGTATACAGGCCAACGCTCTAACTACTGAGCAACAACTGCCAGGGCAGTAAATAGTACATTTTAATAACCAGTCTGATTCTTTCAGTCAAAATTAAGTTGCAGATATCCTTGGTATATATTTTTATTTATTTTCATTTTATTATTTTTTATTGAGGTATAAGTAACATATAACCTCATTATTTTCAAGTGTAAAAAATAATGATTCAGTATCCTATATAATAAAACCCTTATATGCAAATAGACTGAATGGCGGATTGACCAGCAGAAAGACTGGTCACTGTGATGCACACTGACCACCAGGGGGCAGATGTTTAATGCAGGAATTGCTCCTTCATTGAGCATCTGGCCCCCTGCACCCCCAGAGGGAAGTGACTGGCAGCAGTGATCAGGGGGTGAGGCTGGCCAGTGGGCAGCGCCAGGCTGCCAGCCAAGGTAGGTGCCAGCAGGCCCCCTCCCCCCATCGCCGTGCCTGCTGGTTGCCCCACAGATGGCCCTGATCGCCGGCCAGGCCTAGGGACCATACCCTATATAATGGGAACAGTCTCTTAGATTTAAAAATTAAAACCTGGCAAGGCTACTCTAACACTGAAAAAACAGGATGATGCAGTAATGACATGCATGGACTCTGGCTTGCACATTTTGTGGTCAGCCTTGATTCTGACACTTATAACTGTGTGACAAAGCCAATTACTTAACTTCTCTCTGCTTCAGTTTTTCCACCCATAAGATGGGGAAAATGGTACTACTGCCTCAGAAGGATCATGTTATGTACTACTTTTTATAATCAGGGCAAAAAAATGCAGCTGCCCATACAACAGCAAGATGCCTTTCACCCGTATGAAAAGCATGGTCACTGGTGCATACAGTGTTCGGATTGCGAGAGGGATGTCCGACTGCTGGTTTAGACCCGACATCCCCTGAGGGGGTCCCGGATTGCAAGAGGACGCAGGCCGGGCTGAGGGACCCCCCTTCATGCACGGATTTCATGTACTGGGCCTCTAGTTTCTATATATTTTGAAATGATCACTACAGTAAGTCTAGTTAACATAGTCTATTACATTAGTGCAGTTAACATTGTCACACAATAAGTCTAGTTATATATTTTTCAAAAGTGCCTGTCACCTGCCAATTCATACTTCCTGAGTCCACTTCTAGATCAATTTAAATGGTGTCTAGAAAAGCCTATCACTAATTGTTACTGTTTAAAAAGTTCAGTTCTGCAGTTGGTGTTTAAATGGTAGGTTATCTCCTTTTATTATTTCTTCTTGTGAGAATTTTCATTTTGGAGGATGTCTGGAAATGAGTATAGAAGAAAAATTTCCTAAACACCATGAAGATCTTTGTATAGTTTGCAATGTCTTTTCACTGTACATTACTTCACCTCATACCACAATGGCAAGTTACAGTTTCGTCTTGGAGTGGTTTTTCTTACTTGTAATTGGAAGGGACAGTGAGTAATATTGGTCTCCAGAATGTATTCTTTGATGTATAAAGTGCCAGTAGGAAAAAAGTTAGAGGTCTGCTTTAGTATTCTATCCAAGTTTTTTCTTTTATTTCCTTTTCCAAATAGACTTTTATTATTTTTGCTAATTACTAAAAGTATAAAACATTTTAAAAATAAAAAATTATATTATGTAGAAAATTGAAGATCCTATCCCCTATTCTTTCCTATAGTTCCACTCCCAACAATTGCCAGCATTTAGTATTTGTATATCCTTCTAGACTTTTGTATGCCAACATAAATATCTCTTATCATAATTGCTATTGTACTACATAATATGTTTCATATTTTGTTATATTTATCTACCTTAACCTTTTAAATTGCTACATATTATTTTGTATGAATGTACCCTTACTTAATAAATAGATTATATTTTTGATGTTTCTCAATACTATAACAAATATGAATATTCTAATGCTTACACCTTTGCCTACTTTTTAATTATTTATTTAGAATAAATAACTAGCTAAAATTAGATTAACTTTCAAATAATGTATTCTGATTTTAAAGGATCTGACATGTGTCAGATCTTGACATTATGGACCCCTAGAAAAATGGCTTTCCCCTCTAACCAACATAGGACATATTCAGTCTTTGCAAAACTAATAAATAAAAAGTATCTGATTATTTTAATTTTAAAGACTATTTAGGCATATATTAATATTGATCATACTTTTTTTTGGTGTGAATTGCCTTATATATCTCCTAATCTTTATTATTGATTTATAAGAGCATTTTACATATTAAATATAACAAAAATTGTCATATGTATTGCAAATAGGTTTTCCCAGTTTCTTAGTTATGTTTTCATGTTATTCATGATATATTTTGTATTGTAGAAGTTTTAAGTTTTTATACAGTAAAAGTCAGTCTTTTTTTTTTTTTAACTTCTTTTTTTTTAATCCTCACCCGAGGATATTTTTCCATTGAATTTTAGAGAGAGTGGAAGAGAGAGAGAAATATCAATGTGAGAGAAACACATCAATTGGTTGTCTCCTGCATGCACCCCAACCAGGGCCCAGAGATGAGTCTGCAACCCAGGTATGTGCCCTTGACCGGAATGGAATCTGGGACTCTTTGGTCCACAGGCTGATGCTTTTATCCACTGAGCCAAACCGGCTAGGGCAGTCTCTTCTTCTTTTTTTTTTTTTTTTTAAGGTTTATTAGTTTTTTCAAATTTAGAAATAGTTTACCTATTTCAAGACTATAAAGTATTTTCTTCTCTCCTTTTTTTCACTTATTATATTTACAGCTTTTACAAATAATCTCTTTGGAATATTTTGGCCTATGGGAAGGTAGTTCTAAATTTATTTTTTTCTAAATGATTAACCAATTTTCCCAATATTATTCATTGAATAATTCTTCTTGGTGCCACTGTTTAAAATACCATATTGTTACATATTAAATTCCTAGATATATATGTCTGTTTCCCACTTTTTCTTTTGTTTCATTGATCTTTTTGACTATTTCTACTTCTGTGCCATTATTACATTATTTTACCAACCTTAGCTTTTAGTACATTTCTATATCTGGGCAGGAATATATCTTCCTACACAGAGTAGCTGGCTACAACATTCATCCTAAGTTTCTTGGATACAAACAGCAAGCTCAGTACCATTGTGAACTTCTAATCTACCCTCTTGCATCTTTGTTGGTGCGATTTCTGAGCTGGGTAGTTTTCCGGGATTCTGATGGAAAAAGTCCATATACTAGTAGTTACTTCTGAAGGAACCCCTCCTTTTCTATGTTGAGTGACCAGCTGTTTACTAATATTTTCTATTTAATCTATTTTCATCTTCTAATCTATAGAGGGTATCTTCCCCCCACCCCCCACCCCCGCCTTTTTTTTTTTTTTAACCATTGCTGTTTTGGATTTTTAAAACCTAATCATTTCTTTGGATTCTTTTTAGGAATTGGGAAGGGAAGAAAGTTAAAATATGGGCTCAATTTGCCATCTTGAAACAGAAATTTGGACTTTTTTTGAATTATATACTAGCATGATGGGTTTTTAAAAAGACCTAAAAATTTTTTTTAAAAGGAAAGTATTCTTTCTAGTGGGATTTAAGTCTATATAATTTTCTATTTATATCCTTTGCATCATTCATCCTGAAAAAAAGTAACTATCAAGTATTATTTTATTTACTGTAATGTGTATGTTTCTTCCTAATTAATAAGTTAAAAACCATAATTCATAAAAGTGACAATTAGGAAATTATAATTTACAAAATGACCTTTAATGACTTTTTTTTACTATCTTTAAATCCTTGAGTCATTGTCAGAGCAATAAAACTGTTATGAATGACTATGATTATATTCCATTCTAGGCACATGCTCTCCTGAGATTCAACTTGGGTTGAAGCTCAGAGAGGATCCACAAAAGCAAATAAGTAAAAAGAAGACTATGCCTGTGCTTAATGAGGATGCAGTCTTACAGGTGTGTGAGCATATTGATTAAATACATACTTGTTAAAAATTGGAAATGCTACTTTAAAGAGTGACAAATTACTAATGATTAATTCTTTTTGTCTGTTATTTTGCTGCTTCTTTCTTTTATCAGTTCTTTTCTCCTTTCTTAGCTAATCATTCTGTTTCTCTGTTGCAAATTTATTGAAAGACAGTTGTTTTAGGAGGAGGTGTTAAAATATTTCCTTTTTCCTCTTTATTTTTCTCTTTCAGTAGAGATGTGGAAGTGGGAGGAACAGAATGTTATAAGAGGTTAGAATTATATTAGAATATAATAATTACAGTTTTCATCTCCATGATATGTCAGAGTCATCTTAAATTTGTGAAGAAGATACTAGTCTGTGTGGTAGAATTTGAGGTATGGGCCACTGAAAGGCTTTTCTGTTGTTCTGTGTGTGTGAATGCATGTGTGTGTACACACGCTTATATACACACATTTTTATTTGCTTTGTAATGTAATCACCTTGAGGTAAGGTAAGGGGTGATTTAGTTAGTACCTTGACCTTGGCATAAATAAATTAGCTAACCAGAGATACCTACAAAGTCTTAAGGAATGGAAGGGAAGATTTGACCATGAGGATCTATTTAATATTGTACCTAGGAAGGTGTCTCACTTGAATTATCTCTGATTAAAAGAAAATTTTAACATAAAATATTTTTTCTTGAAGCTGAAATGTCTATATTTAGTTTCTAATAATTTGCTTAAAATCATTTTGCAATTTCTGAGTTAAGGGAAAAACATTTTCCTCCTTAGTCTTAGTAATTGTGAAATGGGAAATAATAATTTTAGCAGTTTATTTCAGAAGCATTTGCTATGAGAATATTGTACCAGGCTCTAGATTATACCTCAGAACAGTGATTTTGAAAGTTTGATTATCAGACTCATTTGGATAGCTTTTTAAAAATATAGACTCTTGCCCTAACCGGTTTGGCTCAGTGGATAGAGCGTCGGCCTGCGGACTCAAGGGACCCAGGTTCGATTCTGGTCAAGGGCATGTACCTTGGTTGCGAGCACATCCCCAGTGGGGAGTGTGCAGGAGGCAGCTGCTCGATGTTTCTCTCTCATCGATGTTTCTGACTCTCTATCCCTCTCACTACCTCTCTGTAAAAAATCAATAAAATATATTTTTTAAAAAATAGACTCTTAACACCTGTACTTGAGTGGAACTTAGGAATCTCCATTTTTTAAAATACATATTTTATTGATTTTTTACAGAGAGGAAGGGAGAGGGATAGAGAGTTAGAAACATCAATCAGCTGCCTCCTGCACACTCCCTATTGAGGATGTGCCTGAAACCAAGGTACATGCCCTTGACCAGAATCGAACCCAGGACCCTTCAGTCCGCAGGCCAATGCTCTATCTACTGAGCCAAACCGGTTAGGGCAGGAATCTCCATTTTGAAAGACTCCCAAGTAATTTCTGATAATCAACCAGCTTGGAACAATTGCTTTACAGGACTTTAAGAGTTAATGATTATATCTTTCAAAGGTTGGACATCAGATAGTAAATCAGCCATCTGCTGTATGGGCTTGTTGTAAAATTAGAAGAAGAAGGATAAATGAAGTACTTGATATTTGTTCCTCTTTTTTTCACCTTCATGGGAATTCATTGGTAGTAAAATAGATACCTCCTTTAACTTTCCACTATCCCTCTTTTTTTTTGCCTGCAGTAAAAGTTAGACCATATAACCAAAATGTTTAAACATCTGTAGTGAATTTTAATATTATTTTAAAAATTGATACATATTGTTCTCATTATTTTTATTTTTATTCTATGAAAATAAACCATTAGGGGAAGGGAAATATTCTTTCCCCACCTTAAAAAACAGACCCCAACACTTTTCCACAGTTATTCTTTCTTTATATTCCAACACTCAGAACCCTTGTGACATTAGCTAGTGGGGGCTTGTTGTGTGAACCATGGATGGAAATGCAAGTGGGCCTCAGCCAAGGAGACGGACAGACTTGGGTCTCTTTCCCTCAACCTTTACACTTGGTCAATTTGAAATAAAAAATCACTCTAGGGCAGTGGTTCTCAATCTTCCTAATGCCTCAACCCTTTAATACAGTTCCTCATGTTGTGGTGACCCCCAATTTCATTGTTACAAATTGAACATAATTAAAGCATAGTGATTAATCACAAAAACAATATGTAATTATATGTGTTTTCCAATGGTCTTATTAGGCGACCCCTGTGAAAGGGTCATTTGACCCCCAAAGGGGTCGCGACCCACAGGTTGAGAACCACTGCTCTAGGGGGTGGGGGGAGAAGAAATTATATGAGAGAAATTGATTTTATCAAATAAAGAAATGGAGAGACCAGAAAAGATGCTTTCCCATAATTATTTTCTTTTTTTTGACTTATAAATAGCATATTTTTATTCATTAAATCATTTTTTTATTGCTTAAAGTATTACAAAGGGTATTACATATGTCTCCTTTTTTCCCCCGCCCTTGACAATCCCCTGGCCTCCCCTACCCCCCAGTGTCTTATGTCCATTGGTTATGCTTATATGCATGCATATAAGTCCTTCGGTTGATCTCTTACCCCTCCCTTCTGCCCCCCTACCCTCTCCGGCCTTCCTGCTGCAGTTTGGCAGTCTGTTTGAGGCAGCTCTGCCTCTGTATCTATTTTTGTTCATAAGTTTATAATGGTCTTTATTATCCATGAGTGAGTGAGATCATGTGGTGTTTTTCCTTCATTGACTGGCTTATTTCACTTAGCATAATGCTCTCCAGTTCCATCCATGCCGTTGCAAATGGTAAGAGTTCCTTCTTTTTTACAGCAGCGTAGTATTCCATCGTGTAGATGTACCACGGTTTTCTAATCCATTCATCTACTGATGGGCACTTAGGCTGTTTCCAGATCTTAGCTATGGTGAATTGTGCTGCTATGAACATATGGGTGCATATATCCTTTCTCATTGGTGTTTCTGGTTTCTTGGGATATATTCCTAGAAGTGAGATCACAGGGTCAAATGGGAGTTCCATTTTTAGTTTTTTGAGGAAACTCCATACTGTCTTCCACAGTGGCTGCACCAGTCTGCATTCCCACCAGCAGTGCACGAGTGTTCCTTTTTCTCCACATCCTCTCCAGCACTTGTCGTTTGTGGATTTGTTGATGATTGCCATTCTGACAGGTGTGAGATGGTACCTCATTGTTGTTTTGATTTGCATCTCTCTTATAATTAGTGACTTTGAGCATGTTTTCATATGTCTCTTGGCTTTCTGAATGTCCTCTTTTGAAAGGTGTCTATTTAGATCCTTTGCCCATTTTTTGATTGGATTGTTTATCTTTCTTTTGTTAAGTTGTATGAGTTCCCTATAAATTTTGGAGATTAGGCCCTTATCAGATATGACATTGGCAAATATGTTTTCCCACGCAGTGGGCTTTCTTGTTGTTTTGTTGATGGTTTCTTTTGCTGTGCAGAAGTTTTTTATTTTGATGAAGTCCCATTTGTTCATTTTCTCTTTAGTTTCAAGTGCCCTAGGAGCTGTATCAGTGAAGAAATTGCTTCGGCATATGTCTGAGATTTTGTTGCCTTTGGATTCTTCTAGAATTTTTATGGTTTCCCGTCGTACATTTAAGTCCTTTATCCATTTTGAGTTTATTCTTGTGTATGGTGTAAGTTGGTGGTCTAGTTTCATTTTCTTGCATGTATCTGTCCAATTTTCCCAACACCATTTATTGAAGAGACTATCTTGAGTCCATTGTATGTTCTTGCCTCCTTTGTCAAATATTAATTGAGCATATTGGTTCGGGCCGATTTCTGGGCTCTCTATTCTATTCCATTGATCTATATGTCTGTTCTTGTGCCAATACCAGGCAGTTTTGAGAACAGTGGCTTTGTAATACAGCTTGATATCTGGTATTGAGATCCCACCTACTTTGTTCTTTCTCAGGATCACTGCAGCTATTCGAGGTCTTTTTTTATTCCAGATGAATTTTTGGAGAGTACGTTCTAGATCTGTGAAATATGCCGTTGGTATTTTAATGGGAAATGCGTTGAATTTATAGATTACTTTGGGTAGTATGGACATTTTGATGATGTTGATTCTAACCCATAATTATTTTCAAATAATAAAATATATTGCTTTATAACTTGAATTGATTTCTAAATAAATTCCAAAAAATTACTAAATGGATTTCTAAATAAATTCTTCCTTAGTACTCGTATACAATATTTATTTTCAACTTCAAAACAGAATATTTTAGAAATGATGGACTATTTTAGATAAGGATAAACTTTGTAGAAATTGAGGATATTTGGTTTGTTATATACTATACTAATTTTTAAAAATATAGGCAGGTAATGGCCGGTGTGGCTCAGTTGGCTGCGCGTTGTCTTGTCCACCAAAAGGTTGCCAGTTTGATTCCCGGTCAAGGACACATGGCTGAGTTGTGGGCTCAGTCTCCGGTAGGGGGTGTGCAGGAGACAACCAATCAATGTTACACTCTCACATCGATGTTTCTCTCTCTCTCTAAAAAAAACCAATACACTATTCTTAAAAAGTAAAATAAAAATATAAACAGCATCTGCCCTAACCGGTTTGGCTCAGTGGATAGGGCGTTGGCCTGCTGACTGAAAGGTCCCAGGTTCGATTCCAGTCAAGGGCATGTACCTTGGTTGCAGGCACATCCCCAGTAGGAGGTGTGCAGGAGGCAGCTGATCGATGTTTCTCTCTCATCAATGTTTCTAACTCTCTATCCCTCTCCCTTCCACTCTGTGAAAAATCAATAAAAAAAAAATACATAAGCAGCATCTTTTAAAATATTTCATATTCATCATTTTTGTTGGGTCTTGCAATACCTTTTCTTATTATTTACAGGTGCTATATAGCAAGCAGTTTTTATTTTTAAATTTTTATTTTTTATTTTATTTGAACATTTATTTTCATTGATATATATAAAGTGGGACAAAAGTAGATTTACAGTTATAAGTATGAGAAACAGTTTATTCTTGTGTTATTATTTATTAACTAGAGGCCTAGTGCATGAATTTGTGCACCAGTGGCATCCCTTGGCCTGACCTGCGGGATCAGGCTGAAACCGCCTCTCCGATATCCCCTGAGGGACCCCATGGTTGCACGATCAGGGCGGGGAGGGACTTGGGAGGTTGGCCAGCTGGGGAGGGACTGCAGGAGGGCTCTAGGGCGTGTCCGGCCCGTCTCACTCAGTCCCAATTGGCCGGACCCCAGCAGCAAGCTAACCTACCGGTCAGAGTGTCTGCCCCCTGGTGGTCAGTGCATGTCATAGCGAGCGGTTGAACGGCCTTAACATATCATTAGCATATTATGCTTTGATTGGTTGAATGGACGACTGGACAACCGGACACTTAGCATATTAGGCTTTTATTATAAGGATTACTGTATTATTTGCCATACAAACAACTGTAAACCTACTTTTGCCCCACCTATATAGTACCTGTTTTATTATATTTCTAGGTGACATATTTTTTTGGAAAGCAGTTTTTTAACTTTACATGGAAAATGTTTAGTATAGCAGTTTCTGAGAGGATGTTTTTGAATGATATTAACATTTAAATAATAGATTTTAGTATAGTAGATTACCCTCCATAATGTAGGTGGCCCTCATCCAACCAGTTGAAGGTCTCAATAAAACAAAAAGACCAGCCGCCCTGAGCAAGACAGAATTTTCCAGCAGACAGCCTTTGGACTTCGTCTACATCATCAGTTTTCCTGAGTCTTGAGCCTCGTGACCCACACTGCAGATTGGACTTGCCAGTCCATGAAGCCAATTCCTTATAATACATCTCTTTCTATACATATGTACATATTCTATTGGTTTTGTTTCTCTGGAGAATGCTGATTAGTACAGGGGCATCACTGGTTTTATTATAATCCATTTTTGATCATATAGAAAATACTTGTTTAACAGGGAATAATGATTAATTCAATCTTACGGATATTACCTGTGGAACTCTTTATCTGAGCGGTGTGAATTCAGGTTGAATCTCACTTTCCTTCTGCATTCTGCAGCTTTCACCTTCCATCCTTACCCATATGTAAAGGTGAAATCAGTTTAAATCAGCGGTTCTCAACCTGTGGGTCGCGACCCCTTTGGGGGTCAAACGACCCTTTCACAGGGGTCGCCTAAGACCATCGGAAAACACATATATAATTACATATTGTTTTTGTGATTAATCACTGTGCTTTAATTATGTTCAATTTGTAACAATGAAAATACATCCTGCATATCAGATATTTACATTACGATTCATAACAGTAGCAAAATTACAGTTATGAAGTAGCAATGAAAATAATTTTATGGTTGGAGGGTCACCACAACATGAGGAACTGTATTAAAGGGTCGCAGCATTAGGAAGGTTGAGAACCACTGGTTTAAATGAACATTAATGAGAACCTTGAAGGAAATGAACAATCACAAGCTTGTTTGATGACCATGTAATAGAAGAAGGATCATGGTTGGCAAGGCCAGCACTCATAGAGAGATTTATATCTATATATAGTACCTGTTTTATTATATATGTAGCTGAAGCTGGTGTGTGTGTGTGTGTGTGTGTGTGTGTGTGTGTGTGTGTATCAGTATCAGTCTTTTTAAGCCCCAGTAGGGAGGTGACATTCTCTTTTTAAAAAAATATATATTTTATTGATTTTTCAGAGAGGAAGGGAGAGGGATAGAGAGTGAGAAACATCGATGAGAGAGAAACATTGATCAGCTGCCTCCTGCACACCCCCCACTGGGGAAGTGCCCACAACCAAGGTACATGCCCTTGACCGGAATCAAATCCAGGACCCCCCCCAGTCCGTAGGCCGACACTCTATCCACTGAGCCAAACCAGCCAGGGCGATATTCTCTCTTAATCAGAATTCTTACTCATTGCTTGTGGGAAATGTAGAATGGTTGCAGTCTCTGTGGAAAATGGTATAGTGATCCCACAAAATATTATACATAGGATCCAAAAATTCCACTTTTGCAATTATACCTAAAATAAGTGGATATAGAGACTCAGAAATATATTTGTTTACTCACATTCATAGAAACATTATTCACAATAGCCAAAAGGTGGAAGTAACCAAAGTGTCTACTAATAAATGAGTGGGTAGACAAAATATGGTACATACAATGGAATATTCTTCAGCCATGCTACAACATGGATAAACCTTGAAGACATTATACTAAGTGAAATAAACCACTCATAAGAGGACAAATATATGTAGTATTTCTTTTTTTTTTAAATCCTCATCGAGGATATTTTTCCATTATTTTTAGAGAGAGTGGAAGGGAGGGAGAGAGGCAGAGAGAAACATCGGACTGGTTGCTTCCCACACGTGCCCCCACTTGGGTCCAGGGATTGAGCCTGCAACCGATGTACATGCCCTTGACCGGGAATTGAACCCGTGACCCTTCAGCCCGCTGGCCAGCACTCTATCCACTAGGCAAAACTGGCCAGGGCTGCAGTATTTTTTTAAAAATATATTTTATTGATTTTTTACAGAGAAGAAGGGAGAGGGATAGAGAGTTAGAAACATCGATGAGAGAGAAACATCGATCAGCTGCCTCCTGCACGCCCCCCAGTGGGGATGTGCCTGCAACCAAGGTATATGCACTTGACCGGAATCGAACCTGGGACCCTTCAGTCCGCAGGCCGACGCTCTATCCACTGAGCCAAACCGGTTCGGCTACAGTATTTTTTTTTTATATGAGCTACTTAGAGTAGTCAAATTCATAGAGACAAAAAGTAAAAGGGTAGATGCTGAGGGTTGGTGGGGTGGTGAATGGACAGTTAGTGTTTAATGGGTATGGAGTTTTAGTAGGAGAGGATGAATAACTTCTGGAGATGGATGGTGGTGATGGTTGCACATCATTGTGAATATATATGTACCACAGAACTGTACATGGTTAAAATTGTAAATTTTATTTTATACGTATTTTACCACAATAAAAAAGATGCTAAGAAAGAATAATATGAATCACCTTAAATGTTAAATTTTTAGTGTGTTGCATTGGGTTAGTATTCATCAGTTGGAAAACTACTGTGTTTTTTTTCCCTAGCAACCTCAAGATGAAATGGAACAAAATCAAGCTCTGTTAGAGTAAGCATTCTAATTTTTGGCTTTATTATGTTATAGATACTTAGTCATTTTGTACATCAAAAATGTCTTCATTTTCGTTTTAGAATTATGTTTTTGAATAATTGCCT